GAGTCGGCTCGCAAGCGCGCTTATGTCGACATCAATTTTACGGCAACTAGTCGCTGCCGGTCGCTTCCAGTTGCTCGAAATGCAGTTGCTTCCAGTCGAGTCGGCTCACAAGCCCGACATAAGCGTGCCTTAAGTGTATAAGCACGCAAACATTTCATGCAAATTGTGTGCTGTGTAGTGGGGTTTACATTGTTATAAACTTGCAAATGTTAAAAGCTTAATTAAAATAAAAACCTAATAATCAGTATAATAAGGTTTATTATAAAGTTCCCCTTCTAGTTAGATCAAATAAGATCACACATGTATATATGTGGAAAGCATATATATGGTTCCTGTGATTATTCTCCACAAGTTGTATTCAGTTTTTTTGTCAGTTCTTCATTGTGAGGAGATTTTATTATCAGGCTCTTTTTTCACGAACATATTTATACAATGTATACAATTCCCCACAAATCCTCACAATCTGTACACTATGGCAGTGGTTCTTAACCTTTTTTGAGTAATGGACCCCTTTGAGAATCTGGTGAAAGCTACAGACCCCTCCCTAGAAAAATGCACATAAGCACATAAACACACAATTTTGCATACAATGTGGTTCACGGACCCCCTGAAGCCCATCCACGGACCCTCAAAGGGGTCCATTGACCACAAGTTAAGAACCGCTGTTCTATGCACTTGTATAAACAGGTTCATGCTTCTATATATACTAACGTGCAGTCCAAGTGCACTGCTTATTTTAAGGGCCTACATTAAGCTTCTTGCTGAATCGATGCTAGGTTTCTCTTCCTGTTGTGCATTAATAACTTGTCATTTGATTAAATTTCACATTTTCCTTTTTCAGTGCACTCAAAGATAGTCGGTTCAGTCCGGTCAACAAGGAGGAACTACCCAAACTTCAAGTATCCGTGTCCGTTTTAGTAAATTTTGAAGAAGCCAGGGACTACCTAGATTGGGATGTAAGTCTTGATGGTTCTTCACAGGTTTCGTGCATATATATATATATACAGTGCACGAAATTAATGCTATATTGCCGGCGGCTGCCGGTTCAACCCCTTAAACTGCCTTCAACCCCCCATATAATCAGTCCACTTGGCCTATTCAAAAATTTTGCCTATGTTGCCTTTATATCAACAATATTTACCAATTTCCTGAGTAGCTTTTACTTAGTGACTACTATTATGGTCATACTAACTACTAAGTAAATCATGGTCCAGCAATTCTTGTCAAACAAGTAGAAGTCAACAGATAGCAATGAAATACTGAAATACTATGCGTATGCCTTATAAGCACAAAGCTAATACTTTTATTAATAATAGAATAAATTGAACAAAATTAAGGGCCTGTTCAAACTTGTAAGGGCTTGTTCAATTCGTCTAAGGGCCTGTTTAAAATTTTGGGTGGGCATGTTCACATTTTGGATAATTTCATACCCTGATATATTTCAATTATTGATATGTCTATCCAGCATCTCGGCATGCGTGCGATTAGAATGTGACGCTAGGACCATCGGTGGCAGTAGCTTATAGGTGATGAAAAGGTCTAGATTTAGTCTCGCAGACAGCTGAGCACCCTGTGCTTGCTTGGCAGTGACAACTGTGTCCGACAGACAGAATAGGTTCGGCGTGGATTTCAAGAGCCGTAGCTCATACTTCACGCACACACGTGTTGTGCACACATATGCTGTACATATAAGGGCAGGAAGTTTTAGCTTCAACGTATAATAACACAAAATGCATAGAATCAGCTCAGAAAAGTATTCCAATGTTTTTAAGCTATACCAATAATTAAATAGAAAGACTAGTGTGGAAATAGGTGTCATAATTTTTGTATTATATTATCGCCACGCGTGTTTGAAGTGTTTGTTTGCAACATGAAGATGATGAATTTAAATTTTCAATTAATTTGTCATTTGGTGTGGCTTCCGAAACTCATGTAAGAGTAGCATACATGTGTTATTCATCAAAGTAGTTTAGATCCGGAATGAATGATCCAACAGTGTTATTCCCCCGTCCATTTTCCACCCCTATGGTTTATTCCTTTCTTGTGTTTTCTGATCCAAAATGCTACGGAGGCCTGCTCCTTCTGTTAGGGAATACTGTATTGTGTACAGCTTAGTGTTGTATAGCCTGCAGGTTCAATTATTTAGTGCGCAGAACAGATGAAGAAAAGGATTCGTCCATTAGGACCTTGAAAGAGGGAAGGACATACACATAGTTGGATAGATCATGCATATAGACAGTGAGAGAGAGAGAGAGAGAGAGAGAGAGAGAGAGAGAGAGAGAGAGGGGTAAGAGCGAACAGAAGCAGGCAAGCCAATGAGCAGGCAACGTGTATGTGCGTACGTGTGTGCGTGCATGCGAAAGTGTGTGGGAGAGACAAGGAGAGAGAGAGAGAGAGAGAGAGAGAGAGAGAGAAGGGTAAGAGCGAACAGAAGCAGGCAAGCCATGAGCAGCACCGTGTATGAGCGTACATGTGTGGACAGAGAGAAGGGCAAAGTCGCTATGCGGACAATGTGGAAAGAGACAAGGAAGAGAGAAGAGCAGAAGAAGCAAGGAAGAGAAGGACAGGGATGAGAGAGAGAGAGAGAGAGAGCGCGAGAGAGAGAGAGAGATAGAAACAGAGAGCGACAGGGAAAGCAATAGTGAAAGGACGAGAGTGATGAAATGCTAGATTAATAATATCATGATAAAGTAATCCATACAATTACAATTTATCCTCGCAGAATTGATGGACATCTCATCTTGGACATGATTTGTGTGCTGTCAATAACGTACTGCGATATTGCAGATTGGCAAGCATGGAATTCGAATAGAGTTCAGCAATGAGAAGGGCCACAAACGAACGGCAACCTATCTTCCAGAGGTAGCTCCCGAACAAGGTATGCCACATTGCTGCTGCGCTTAACTTTTACTAACGATTTAAGTAACGAATACTTAAAAACGTTTTGGGGCCCATTATGAGAAACAAAATTAGTCTTAACACTTATCTTAACATTAACTTTCTATCGTAGACCATTGACAGAAACACGGTATAGTTTCTCGTTTGCTATGTTTAGAGCCCTGTTCTACGAGAAAAAGTTAAGACTAATGTTAGGACAACTTTTGATTAAGACTTAAGAACCCCTGGTTCTTGTAAGGCCAGAGTGCATCCTATACAACTTATGCATTCGATTACTTGACAACATTACTGATTATTTTATTATTATATACTATGATTAACATATATTGAAAACACTGTACATTAGTACAGCATGCGACAGTTAATTTTGAGGAACACGTATCTGTCCCGCCCTGACTTCATGAATCGCTAGTAATTTGCATGTCAAGTAGCCATCATAATTACGCGCCAAAGTATAATTACATTACACTGTTTTTGTGTTGCTGGTCTCTCTATATGTAATATCAAGAGTTAATAAAGACAAATTTGTCTTTATTAACTCCTGGTAATATCCATGAAGAAGCTTTTCGCATTCAAGTATGGCGTCAGTTCGATAATGATTTTGATGCCGACATGGCATTGATGCGTTGCGATGCAGGTTGGGATAAGATCCAGACGATCGACTCCCTTCTGCGGAAAGGCGGATTCAAGGGCGTGATCACGAACGAGGTGAGAAAGTCGATCCGGCTGACCAGGTACCAAAGCGAGAAAATCATCCTGTCTTACTCGGACTACCTGCATAGAAACAGCTACGTGCGTAACGGACGCATCTGATATACGTGTACAGTCACACAGGAGGTCCTCCCACTCGTAGCACTCGTTACTGTTAGCCTGGGTCTCATGTGTGGTGTCTACTGGCTGAACTGGGCATTGGTCGCCAGCTGATGATGACGGTGCCCCGCAGCCAGTGACAGACATTAGGAAATTGAATTTTTTATACGTATTAGCTCGCGTTGTCGACAGCTGTGTGTCGGCGGTAGTGATTGCAGGTAGGATGATGCACTCGTACGTGCGTGATGCTCTGGTGTGTTCTATCGCTAATTCTGGGGGTTATGTGAAACTGGATGTCACACGCAGCTATTCTTCAAGGCTTTTCTCGATTCCTAATTCGGCGTGAGTGTCAGCACTGTAGTGGTGGTGCTATTAGCACAGAGTTGATACGGGTTTTTGCTTCAAGGTGTACTACTGTATCAACGAATCCTTCGAATTTGAATGTAAAGGTATGAGGTTAGCTGCAAGCTTTCTAATGTCAAAATTGATACGAGATAACAGTTTATGAAGAGTAGGCAGTGAATTCGCAACAGAATGAGAAGAGAGCTTAATGAAGTGACTGGAAGCCATTGCCTAATAGCTATCAGGAAAAACTTTGCACGTTAAGAACTGTGGCTCAATCTAAAAACAAAACAAATGTAGTGTCGACTTTCTCTATAGGCAGTTATATAGCAAATCATCAACAAACATAGAGAGGTAAATTCTCTGTCTAATGCTATTGGCTTGTATTGAGACTATTCTTCAAAGCAGGTTTTGAGTGTTCTAACCCAATATGCAAAACAGTAATTTCTTAATCGTGTTGCGAGAGGGGGTGGGTTGCCACCTGCAATCACTATAATCTGACGCACTACTGTCCACACAGACTGTTACATCATAACTACTAACTGAGCTGCAGTTTACACTTAGAAGTTCCATACTATTCTATGATAGCATGGCAGTTGTGCTCAGTTACTGATGGTTGGTCAATTGCAGCCTACATAATATCATAATCATATGTACTAGTATACATAAGTTGATGATAATATCAAGAGTTTGTGATTACATAGTTATTTGATTACGTAGTTATGAGCTCTTGATAATATGCTATTTATATGAAATAACGTATTTAAATAGTATATTATGTGTGAGTGTTCATGCAGTGATTGAAAAGCAGTGACTTAGCACTGCTGTTACCTTATCATGCGTATAATAGGCTATTATTATGCGAAACTTGCTCTGTCAATAATTATCAGTTTTGGTATGAATAATTGGTAACGTGAATATTTCTTTAAGTAAATTGTAGAGGAAACAAACAGACACCTCAAGGGAAAACATTTTCAAAGGCAGTTCTGCAGCCAGTTAGTGGTTAAGTGGTGTGTATGTTTAGCGTAGTATTGATCGTAGCGTAAAGTTATGGGATTTTGTCTCTAGAAAATCTACTATTTGTGTATGTTCTCTGTTGTCATTTTATAAAATCTTGCAAACCTTGGGTAGTTTGCAAGAAATTGTTTTCCGAATGTTATGGAACCATGGATCTGCCTCACAAATCGTAAATTTCGGTGACAGTGGTACAACTGCACATTGCTAAAGTCATAATATAGTTGAAATGCAATGAGTCGACTTTAGATTTAAAGTCGCGTTATCTGAAATGAAAAAAACCAAATCGACTATGGATTATATCAAGAGTAGATAATAACACATGTGTTATTATCTACTCTTGATTATATGTAATATCTCCCATGGAGAGGGTGCCTAACAATTTGATCAGTGCATTTTTGCCTTTTTAGATAAAAAACAGCGCAATTTTAATCTGTTCTCATCAACTATGCAACTTTAGTGGTGTGCATTCTGTTTGTGCATGGCAGATCCATGCAATATCACCACATGGTTCCATAAATTTGCAACAAGCGTTCTTCCGTGAAACCCTGGATTTACTCTATTGTGCAATAGTCTTAGAGTTGACTGTACCTTTCGCTTGCGTTCGTTTGACATGCCTGTGTATGACGTTTGTCGCACTCAGCCATAGTGATAGATAATCTATCATGCTACTGCGGCTGTAGGTCATCACAAATAATCTTGATAGGTGGCTCATTCGTGTTGCCGATTGATTTCACTTATGCTGGCACTTCCTACAGTTAGTCGTTGTATTTTACCTTTATAGTTAATATTTGACTTGCAGTTGGAGCTAGAATCTACAATAACGTTTAAAATTTATCAAAATCAAAATTTTTAACAATTAATCGAAGTGGGAAATTAAGCTGATTTCCTTTTTTCGAATCAATGGAAATGTAGTTCTATGCGATTGCGATCTCTAAGGTCGGTATTGTACGCGTGCGCGAGTCCAGGTTTCATGGTTTTCCGCTTGTAAACACCACGTCTTTCATGCAGTTCAGAGTAAGACCATGCATGGAAAAACAACGTAGGAAATGATGAGGAATGGTGGAGGTTTACATACGAAGCCTCAATCCGCGGTATTCAGTCCTTCGCAAAAAAAACAGCTGGCGAGTCTAGTCGGTGAACAAAGTAATACGAATAACTCGTTTACACTTGTGGGAAAAAAAACTACTGTGTAAATACGTTCAGGTTCTGCTGCAATGCGTCACAACTAGGTCGACCTGTGGACATGGCATTTTATGATCAATGCCCATCTAAGCGTACACTGTAACCTGTTGTCGAAAAAGCCCATGTGCCTCTCTGGTGTCTACAGTACGCCTTCTCTAATTCACTGTGGATATAGACATAGCTGTTGTCATAAAAATCTATACTACACTTGCGTGTAATAATTGGCCAGGTGGGATATACTCAATATCAACTAGACTTGCTCATTGCTGTTCTAAGTTGCTGAAGAACATGGGGATTACCGCAGAGAAAGAGAGGGAGAGAGAGAGAGCTGGCGCGAATTCGAATAAGTGGGTGTAGGTAGTACCGCGATATAAAGGCATCACACTATGCATTTATGAGCTAACTACACTGGGTGGGTGAGTCGCCGTGGTCAGGTTGCATCACAGGCACTTGGAGCGTTTCAATAAAATATAATGCTAAATAAATACGCAATCTATCTACTACCAAAGTCTTAATGTTTCTCTACTCTCTTTCACCTATTATTGCCGACAATTTGCTGTAAATGCCGTCCAAATGCTCATCTGCAACACACTGTCACACGCTGGCCGCCGCACGCTAGCTGCTGCACACTGACACATAAATATATAGTCACTATATAGACACTATAATAATATTTATGTGTCAGTGTGCAGCAGCTAGCGTGCGCTGTACTTGTGCGTTGCAGATGAGCATTTGACCGGCATTTACAGGTGATTATAGGCGAAATAGAGTAGAGAAACATTAAGACTTTGGTAGTAAATACATTTCGTGTTTATTTGCCATTTTTATTTTTTATTGAGACGTTCCAAGTGCCTGTGGGTTGCATCACGCGGTTACGTAGAACATTGAAGGTGTTGACTGTCGAATTGATGTACAAGTGATGTAGGACTCTACTGTACAGTGTAGTGCCAGCATAAAATAAGTGCTGACCGATGTCAAACCAACTCTTACAAAAACATGAGTGCGCCATCTTACTTAGTCTATATAGCCTATAACTGCACCGTATCTGGTACATTCCCCATTTATAAGCCCTCTCTTTGACCAGGAACTTGCATCAGCTAGGTTTATCGGTCATCGAAGAAATTCATTCGGTACGTAATATTTGTATCAGATTTCTACGCCTATGTTAACGTGATTGCGCACGCAAACAGATGATGGCGGGTAGCATGATGTAGCGTTTACTGGCTCCCTCTGTGTGTGTGTGTTGCCCTGTAAACCTCACGGGCCCAGCCGGGCAAGGCATACATCGAGAGGCCGTGTGTGTGTGAATGCTGGCATGCTTAGATGGTGGAATGCTGGTATGCTGCGATGTTCACTTTGTGAAGGGCAGTACGACGTTAGATGTCCTTGCTGTACGTAGTGTTAAGAATCACCACCAGGGGGCATCGTTGTAGCTTATCACGGTCGTGATTTTATATAGATGATCTGCAGCGATCATCTGATGGTGGTGATGATGGGGACGATGGGGACGATGACGATGACGATGACGACGACGACGATGATAGTGGTGATGGTGATGATGGTAGTGATGATGATGATGAGGATGACATTGATTTTGATGATGAAGACGAAAGTATGATAGTGTTGATGGGGATCATAGTGACCAGTTGAACGAACATAGATCATCAATCTGTGTGCTAGTAAAGAAAAAGAAAAGCAAGAATATCATTGAGTAAGGAAAGCATGTCAGGAACATAAGGCAGGAATGGCATTCCTTCATTTTTGCAGTGGTTCGCTCATGGTTAACAGACGGTGTCGATTTTCCAAAAAAAGGACAACTATTCACTTCTTACGGACGAAATTACGTCATGTTGCCCTAAAGTTGGTCATTGTCTAGTGTTCAAAAAAACCAGTTTGCTCTTCTTTCCATCGAAATCCGGTCGTTTTACCGTGCAGCCCCTCACTACTGCGGAGGGAGGGCTACGCGAGTAGATCTATCTGTGCAGTTGCACAATTGCAATATTAGCACCCGGTCGAATTTGGGTCTCACACGTACATCAGGGCCGTACGATACAATTTGCGTTGAAAGCATTGGAGAGGAAAGGCCTTCCTTGTACGGCAGCACTATTATGAATTAATTAGTGCACAAGTAATTGGTCTAATTGGGAGCACATACGTTGCGTCACCCCTGGCCCCATGTGTGTTGAGGGTAACCTTCTGGCTGTAGGAGATTGTCCTTGTATGGTCACAGGTGCTATAATAGTTCGTTTTTTAATCGATGACTCACTCATCGTCACTGCAGTATCAGGCGAATTTTCTCACGTAGGAGCAACTAACTTAACAGTGAAGCGGGAAAGACCAGCTAGTTGACAGTACATTGTCCAGTAGCACATGGGATCAGGTTGTCCGTCAGACGTGGGTATAACACATAGAAGTAGAATAGAGGTACTATATCTGTATCCTCTATTCTATATCCTGTATATTCTCTATTCTATTCTATATCCTGTATATTCTCTATTCTATTCTATATTCTCTATTCTATTCTATTCTATATTCTATATTCTATTCTATTGAGTATTCTATATTCTATTCTATATCTCTATCCTCTATTCTACTTCTATGGTATAACACCGCCAATGTGGTAACAGTGATGTCGTGTGCTGCCACCTGTAGGTGGCATTGATCAGCACACATTGCGACCCACCAAAAACCTGCCTTAATACTGTGATAACAAGACATCCGTATGATAGATATCCTGTTCATACCCTGGATAGACGTTGTATTTGCTATATGAAACGGTAGCATCAAGTGACATTAGTGATTTAGTTCATGAGCATATTGGAAATGTTTTTCAAAGTATTTGAATATTACATTATGGTGTTGGTTGTGTAGTGGGTAGTGTACCGCGTGTATGTAAGGTTAATTATATTATATAATGTGAGCACAAACACAAGACTGGTCTACATATATACAAAAATATATACAAGACTTCTCAAGACAACTCTATGGAACTTTCACAAATAATAGTTTACAAATTTATAGGCTTACCATGGATCTTTGGTAAACAATTATTGGACAGTTGCACTTATTTAGATACACGTGTTGATATGCCTTATTTCCTGTGCTCTTACTATAATGCATACAGGTACGTAGTAGCAGAACCTAGTTTGCTTGTAATTTGATAGAATAATGAGTAAAGCATAGTAAACTATACGTAGATAGGCAAGGATATCATTGTAATACTTATCTTCAGCATTGTACCGTACTTTAACTGTCTGTCATGTTGTTTTTTCTGCTGAGACAAGACTGTGTATTGTAGCGTAAGAGTAGGAGTTGGAGGATCCACTAAAGCGCTAATAGATTAAGGATGGACATGTGTGTGGCCACGTGGTTGCTGGATATGTGTGCGTGTTTCACACTACGATGTTAGCACGTTGCATCTTCATTGCGAGAAGCTGCACTTGACGTCGCAACCACCAGACGACAAGCCTGAGCCCTGTAGCAATATCATGCCGACCGGTAGATTGCACGTGCTGATATCTAGTGGTAGTTAAGATCGGTGTTATCAAGTTAGCACTTATGTAATTATATTCGATGAAGCGCATCAGTTTTCTTTCTGCTAAGTTCGCATCGAGGGCCATGCGAGCGTTGATGGTCTGTGGTGCCACCATCATTTTCGCAAGAGGTTTTACAGTAGGTGTATGATGTAGCCTCTATACTGAGGTCAGTTTCGCGAATGCACATCGTATCGTTTTAAACTTTATCTGAGGTAGAATGTGTGCATCGTGTACGTGCATCGTATAGTTGGCTCGTGATGTCGCCCAGGATGTTGTATGTCACCAGCGGGCTCGTCCTTGCAGCAGTAATGCTAGATGTGAAGTGACTAATTGTGCAAGGAACGGCCGTAAATTAACGACTCGAGGTTTATCATATCTGTCTCTAGACTCATTCCAAAAGTCCCTGGCTGCTGTCCTGGCAAAAGTCCCTGGCTGCTGTTGAGTTTGAGCGAGATACGGATGTCAAAGGGCCGTCTACAATTCTTGATGTATAAATGTCGGTGTAACTGATGCAGCGATGTTCAAGAGTAGACCTTTACATTGGCTTTTAATTCTTGGGGTAAATACGGTAAATTTTTACGGGAATGCATCAAAGTTTCTTCCTGTGGTCATTGTAGTTGTTTAACCCGAAACACACTATACGATGTACCTTCCAAATATCTTTAACGAACCTAATTTTACTCCCCTTGTTGAGGTACCAACGACGGCAAGATTGTCTTGTCGCTTTAAAAGCCAGTAAACGAGCAAACACTAGACTTCTCATCCTAAATAAATAATTGGCAATGAAAATGAACCAGCGCTGTCTCGCGAGTCCAAAGCTCCAGCAATCGAGATTCCAATTTCGAGATCGAATCCAGATCTGAGTAATCGCAATCTATGGAGGTTTTACTTTACTGCTGGTAACTGTTCTTGTCCCTGACTGGTCGTTGAACGTCAGTTTGTGGGTTGGGGTGAGGAAAGTCTTCGTTTATTGAAACAAATATCGTAAAGCGTGGCTGGGTTTTAATTAATTATTCACCATTTTATCGTCACGGACGTATAGCAAAAATAGAGTTTCCAAAAGCACTGCGCAATGTTTGGTTCCAATGACCGACTGAGTTTTGACGTGGCTCTAACGAGATTGACTTGGCTTTAACGAGATTGACTTGTGTGTAACGGAGAGAGATATCTGATCCACTCTACGTGACGTCATTGCAAAGTGCAGTAACCTGATAGACGTGTGCAACGCGAGACTCCAGCTTCACTCCTCTCTAAATCTCGCCAACCTCATAAACAACACTCCACGCGACCTCTTCGTCATGCGCTCATTGGCGCACCAGCGGCTCTATTAAGATGGGTTCACACTACCGACTTAATGTGGACGAATTTGCGAGTTGGACCAACTTCACAACTATACAACCGACAATCGGCAGTGTAAACACGAAAGTTGTGCGACCAACCGATCGATAGCAACTAGTTGGGAGATTAGAACATGTTCTATTTTCGCCAACTCGGAGTCGGACCAATTGGCGAGTTGGACCAATTTCGCAATTCGGCAACTCCGAGTTGGTGAAAATGGAACATGTTCTAATCTCCCAACTAGCTGCTATCGATCGGTTGGTATCGAAACTTTTGCGTTTACACTGCCGATTATCGGTTGTATAGTTGTGAAGTTGGTCCAACTCGCAAATTCGCCAACATGAAGTTGGTAGTGTAAACCCAGCTTTAGACGGGAAAACGTAGCCCAGTACGTAGCGCGGGGGGGGGGGCCTCACCGGTTCACCTTTGCGGTGCTCAGTTACGTTGTCGTGCGTATTTATTTACGCAACTTCCGCAGACGTAGCGATTTTACAGCAATTTCTACAGCGATTCTAGAATCGCTGTCAAGTTGCATGAAAAAATCGCGCGTCTGCCATAGGTTTCAGACAGGAGAACGTAACCCAGTAGCACACAGTGCTTCGCCGTTGCCTTGTAGGGTTACGATATCGTTTATCCGCGCGATTCAAAGCTCCACAGTCTAATGTCAAAGAACAGAATAATTTCACCAGCAAAAGAACAGCTGCGGGCGTGCTGAGAAGATGCTGTAATAAATAGGATGCGCTGTGTGTACAGAGCTGTAGTCCCGTCTCCGATCGATGTTTGTCAGTGTTGAGTCGTTGCCTTGGCGCGGTGTAACTCTAGCTAGCTAGATGTGTGCAGTATTTATGGTGCCGGGGGATAGAATAAGGATCAAGAGCTAATAATACCTATTATTAGTAGCATTATATAGTAGTATAGGTATTATTAGCTCCTGTAAGGATATATAGGCATGTAGTAAACGAATGGTGACCAGTTGTCGCGCGTACTCTCGTTCCGTGGTACCGTGAGACACTGGGAGGGTAGGTAGTAGTGGTATGTCGGTTCCAGTTTCGCGTGGATGTGTGCATCATCAGAGCTGTCTGAAAGGAAGTGAATAGTTTGGCCACGTTATACTTGCAAATGGACGGTCGCCAGTTGTCCCATTATTCGCGGTGTATTTGGTCGCTCAGTGTAGCGTACCATCCTCATATACATGCTGGCCGTGATATTGTATGCGTGGCGAGCTGCTGCTGATGTAGCTCTAGAACTATAGCTCTAGAGCAGTGTCTCTTAACCTTCATTGAGTCATGGACCCCTTTGAGAATCTGGTGAAAGCTACGGACACCTCCCCAGAAAATGCACATAAGTACATAAACACGAATTTTTATGCGCCTGGTTCACGGACTCCCTGAAGCCCATCCAAGGACCCCAAAGGGGTCCATGGACCACAGGTTAAGAACCCATGCTCTAGAGCTACTGCTGATGATGATACGGAGCGAATGGAACTGGTTGCCCATGCGGTGTGCAATATACGAAGTTTGTTTACAATTAGGAAGTTTATACTTGTTTGCTTAGCCCGTTTATTACTTCAGATATGTATACGTTCGTTGTTGGTTGTTTTTTTGTGTAATATGACCGTTTTATCGCTGGGGAAAAAAACGAGATATGTGAATTACTTCTGTTGTGTGAGTGAGCTAACGTTGTGACGGTATACGCCATGCGACGTGGCGCCCTCTATCGACTCCCTATGCTGTGACGTTTATGTCACATTCTCTATATCCTGGCGTTCATGCGTATGTTCCGTCATTCATCCGCATGTTCCGTCATTCGGGGATCTGCATGCAGTTTACGTTCATTATAGGGTATCCTAGCTGTACCGGGGGTCTCTCGGAATAGCTAGGCTCAGCTTTCATCGTGTGTTCGTCACGCGTGTCCGTACAACTGCACTCGCGAATTGTATTTTTAGAACGAGAAACGCAAATGGCACGTTTGTGGCGGTGCGGTTTCTTATTCGCGACTGTCTGTATGTATGTATGTGTGTGGGCTACATTCATTGTGGGGCTTTTTACACGTAACCATTTTTTTGGTTTACCCTTATATTTTATAGAAAATTTTATAATTGTTACAGTCTGTTCCTATCAAGCAACAGCGAGCGGTGTTGATGACGTCAAGCATGTTAGCGTGTTTTGCGGGGAGATTCCGTCGTGTTTTTCGTTTACTGCTTTCGATTTCCTCTTCTCATTGCATTCTCGCAACATCAACATAAATACTACTGAACAATGTTAAGTGCGTGCGTGCGTGTGTGTGCGTGTATGTGTGTGTGTATGTAACGAAATAAGTGGCAGGACCTATGTGTGACTGTACAATCCGTAGTGATATCGACAGTAGCGTGTATTATTAGTTGTGTACAGTGTCTGCGCGTGCGCGTGCGTGTACGGTGGCGAATGCATAAACAGCCAACCGTATATGCTGAATGTATATTATGTAGTACCGCAGATTTCTCTCTTCGCGAGTCGGTTTTCCACCACCAGCCAAGCATTTTCACCCTTGTCTAATGTCTCGTTCATATACGCGGACGCGTAACGACAGCGTCTTGGCGACTGTTCTTTTATAATGCGGCGCGCAGTGAGTGACTCGGTGCTGTCGCCGCCATTATGATACGGGCCGAGGTGGGCCACTGAGCTCCACTTGCGTTCGTACATTCCTGGGTTTCCTCTCTGTGTTTTATTTATTCATAAATAAAGGACTCTTATAAAAATATAATGAATGCCGTTACGTCTTGTCATTATTGTGGCGTATTTTTGCACGTGTGGTTTGCATTGTGTGTGTAATTTACCGTCCGCTTCTATTATGCGCACAATATTATGCCCCATTTATACTGCGCACGACTTTAGCCCGTTTCTGAAGCGGGATAACTTTAGCTCGGGATAAGTCGTTTTAAAAAAATAATAATATAATTCAATAAATAAATTAAAGAAAAATTACTGCTGAACGCGGGATAATTTAGCACGGGATAAGTCCCGTTTTATACTGACCGCACAGGACTTAGCCTCGCTCTGAAGCGGATAACTTTAGCTCGGATAAGTCGTTTTATACTGGGGTGCGTTTCTCAGAGCCACCCGAGTGTGTGTCGAGACAGCCGGCGTAATTGTCATGGTAACTCCACCGTGCACAAACACTTGAAGTTCACGTCACGTCAAGCATACGCAGTTCGAATTAGTTTCCGCGCGCGAAAATTCAAACCATTCGATACCGGTAGGCTAGAATGCTACATGCTTCTCGTAATATTATCTCGATGCTGCGTCTAATTGGATATCGTTGAGCAATGGTAGTCTATGGAAAATTATGTTGATTTTGGGCGGGCTACCAAGCAAGTTGGACCATTGTCCTGGCAATTGCTGCTAGCTAAATGGAGCGACTTCTCACCAAAGGGAATTTGCGGGAGGAGAAGAGCCGCCGTTATTCCTACTCCGCCCGACTTCGGGGGGACGCTACACCGTTTTACGTTAGACAGAGAGCGATGATCGGTCGTCACATTTTTCTGGCGTCAATTGCTATGGGCGTCTGGCGGATAAGCGGATAGGCAGGCTTGATAGACGGCATGGACAATTGTTTTGGGAGCAAATTGTACTGAATTTTAGTGAAGAAGAATGGAGACAACATTTCAGAATGAGAAGGGCGACGTTTGAATATATCGCAAAGTCCAGCATTCTGTCCACGCTGAACTATGTCGGCTCTTAAGTATGTAGCTAATGTCTTCTGGTTCTAATCACTGGCCGTCGCTGGACATTTGCATGAGTAATGTGCCAAATGGCCCATGTCTCCATCTCAAAGCTAAAACACAGTACTACATAGGGTGTTGCAAAGGTTGCTCACCCTGTCTGTTCACAACGAAATAACACGTTTGACAAACGACAAACGAGCAGAAGTGTCGCAGTGCCCCCGGGCCAGTGGTCATCAGGACTGGTTTGTGTGAATGACACCGTGGTGACTATAGTATAGAGACGATTGACCCCAGACCGTCGCAATGACGGCGCTACTACCAACAGTGAAGTAACGAACAGTTGCAAACGCGTGTCGGACTTCATGCAATGACGACTTCGATGCTTTCTGATTTACCTCGTCTGGGATGTCTCATTGCGCTCTGCAGTATAGGTGCGTATTACATTCGTACGCGTGTTGCTAGCTAGCAACTGCGTTGTACGCCTAGTTTACATGTATTGAACCTGATGGTTCTCTACTATCTCTAGAAGTACATGTGGGGGATATTTTCAGTATGTTGAGATTTAGGTGGGTACTGCCTGAAACACGCAGCAGCAGCTGAACTGATAACGATACATAACTGATAACTGATAACGATACATAACTCATAACTGATAACGATACATAACTCATAACTGATAACGATACATAACTGATAACTGATAACGATACATAACTCATAACTGATAACGATACATAACTCATAACTGATAACGATACATAACTCATAACTGATAACGATACAGAGTTTCGTTAACGAAGAAGATGCCTCAGTATAATCAAGAGTACATAATAGACGGTACATATCTCTATCATCATCATCTGGTCGAGCTAGCTCGGACCCCAGACCAAGCCCCTCCAGCCGTCCTTGTCCGACATCTCCGCCGGGAGCTCCTCTGGTAGGAATACATATACATCTCTATAGTACATCATAATATAGAGTACATAGAGAGTATGAGAGAGTATAGCGAGTAGAGAGTAGCAGAGAGACAGTAGAGAGTACATAGATAGTAATATGCTAGAGTACATCTCTATTACGTACTTTTGGTATAATCCACCTCGTTGTTGGAAACATTGATGGCAGGGTGTAGACATCTAGTCGGTTGTATAGGAAGGAACACGGCGATAGGAGTGGAAACGAAAGGAGAAAGACACGTAACTGAGTTTTTATGTTTGTGTCACAATGTGTTGTGTTGAGTTTCCAACATTCGCTGGCTTGTATGCCTATTCCGTTTCACCAGCGACTTGTGATTTTTCAGCCCGATGCTGTTATGCAACAACTCCTACGCAACGGGTCTACGTGGCCCATAGTCCAAAACTTACGACCTTCAACCGCGAATTCGGTGCTATTTCTCCTGCACAGCTAGCTCAGCTTAATGCAATAGCAGTTGGACTTGACACGGGCGTTGAGGTTAGTGTGCATATGTATCATATAACAATAAATAGGAATATTATCAGGCATTCTGAGGTGATGTACTATATAATTTACTACGGCTAGTGTACGGTGTCGACTAGGTGTAATAGACCTCGAGTATAAGCATTTTCATATCAATGACCGCTACATATATATTATCAGGATTGAATAATAATAGATAATAATAATAATAATAATAATAATAATAATAATAATCTATTATTATTCACTCCTGATATTATTATATTATGTTTGTTAGTTACGTACAATTATATTCATTGAACATTTACTGTGTGCAGGAGTCGAGTTGGAAGCCGCTTGAACCTCTATCAAGCAGGGAATTTGCGGCCGAAGCAAGTGTGGTTGTTCTGCTAGAACATTTCGAAGGACTGGATTTGGACTTTTCATTTAAAGCATTTCCGCTAGAAGAGGTACTTGACATGTACATCTGATTTGTAGAAACATTGCCTTCTTTATTGTGCGATGATTATTTGTTGTGATTCACGTTAACGACAATGTACTGTGGGCCATATGTGAAAAACACATACACGCCAACACATATCTGCTTGGATTGTTCCAAATTCATTTATGGCATATGTGGCGTTGTGTTTTAATATTGAGGATTCCAAACGGATTGGCGGCTTCCAAAAGCATTGAATAGTGTTGTGTACGTGTGTAAATGTGTTGTACGACCGCCAGGTATGTCATTATATCATTTAAAGTTTATTACCTAGAATTCTTTGTTACTCTAGGATGGCAGTAGGGTAAACTTCAACACCCTTGAAGAGAGAGTGAAGGAGAAGTATCCTCACAAATCCCCCGTAGTCATGGAATTTAGACCGGAATGCATGCACAGTGTAAGAAATTATATATATATATATATATGTGTGTATATATATATATATATATATATATATATATATATATTTATATATTTATTTATTATTTATATTTATGTTTAATTTTATGTTGTGCTATTTATTATATATTATTTATTGTGCGTATCACCAGTGGGTATTTCTAAATTGGTTTCGCTATTACTGATAAGTGTACAAGCTCTAATGTTTCACGCCCGCGGTTATGTTAGATAACACGGGAGGGAATTTAGGCAGCGTGGATCGTCCTTTAGATGACACTTTCTATTTCGAATCCGTGTGGATAGTAGCCCATTGCGTGTAACACCGATCTATATTGTGTGTAGGCCTATATGTTATAAGTTATAACCGGCTCCAAATTAATCTGAAAGACGTTTAAATTTTTTAGTTATATCACAAACAAACTAGAAGTAATAAATTACAGTAATATCTCGATTTAATCATCTCTATATAGTAGTGCCTTAATTGTGCTACCTGTGAAATCTCTTAGGTAATGGACATCCACTGTAAGTTCCCGAAGTTGTTCGCCAGTTCGGACGTGCCAGTAAACCTACGTGATGCCACGAAGCTACTGAAGAGCTCACAATCCATCCTGCATGACTTGTCACCCGGCAAGCTTGACGTCGCCGTAGCAGCAGATGAGACATTTCTTGTCGAGATGCAGATAGTCGCCGAGTTTTCGCGAGCGGTAAGTTAACTGGTGGCATTGCCCGGAACATTTTATCTTTGCCCCTGCTGAAATTCAGTATAGTTTAATAATAGTTATATATTATATTATTATTATATATAATTAATAGTAAAATTTATATAGGTGTCCTGATTTGTAATGCATTCCAACTACTCAGCGAGTTTGCGAAAAGGGTATATTTATACATTATATATATATTGGCAGCTGCTGCATGCTCAGCAGCACCATGCATGCAGTATAAATATCGTACAGGGCAACTAGGATGGTGCAATTTTTTAAGTGCCAAATGCAATTGCTGCAATTTTTGCCAAGCCCGTGCTCGGCGCAGCATAGCTCTGATGGATGCTTTAACAAGTTGTCCGTTCATTGTTTAGTAATAAGTCAGTAAGTAAGTAAGTAAGTAAGTATTAGTAAGTAAGTAAGTAAGTAAGTATTAGTAAGTAAGTATTAGTAAATAAGTAAGTAAGTACCTAGTAGTAAATTTCGTTTTGTTTGGTAGTTAAGGCTGATATCATGATTCGTGTGTGCATGTATATTATTGCAGCTGAGACACAGCAAGCAGGTATTGAAGGATGGCACGCCTGAACTGATGGTCATTACACTGTCCAGCATCAGACACGTGGTGAAGCATCATGGACTTCAGTCACCACAGCTGCACAATGCTCTCACTATTCTGCGTAGGACACTCAACGAGGTAAGAAAGATCGATCGTCATGCGTAGCGTGTGCAATTTAAACTAACCAACAAGACGGGATCATTGCGATAATGGACTACTTATATCGTTCAAGGATAAATCTTGATTCGATTTATCTGAGTTAATCTTCGTGAGATTTCTATTCTACATACATCTTTTTCGTAATTATGCGCACATACGTTCTCACGCACGCACGTACGCACGCACGCACGCACGCATATGATAATGTTCGCTTAGCATATAGTTACTTATTCAGAGTTTTTTAATCGCCACAGCTTGGCAGATCACTGGAGATGGTTTACGGAGACAACTTCCTTTATGATATTGCTACGTTGGATGGGAGTACCGAAATCTCCTCCGCTGTCTGTGAATCTAGGAGCCCGCAGAAATGTGTGGTAGGCTGTGCCCCACTTTGTCCACTTGTACTTGTGTCTTCGTTTATGCAGACTGTTGTATTTTGTCCCTCATTATGATGGGTTATGATCAAAAGCATGTATTCCTTGAAATCTTCTGGAATGGATCATCGGCATTCATTATCCGTGGTAATCGTTCCAGACAGACATCAACCGTCGTAAGAGATTCCGCGCTGGATTAAATATGAGCAGTGAAATGAGCGAGTATGCTTTCGATGTCGTCTACTGCGATATTAGTGGATGTGACTCGCCTCAAAATCCTTCATTCACTGATAGTGCATAGTAAGTAAGTAGGTGAATTCATGCTGTGAAATATCATGCCATGTTATGTCGATGAGTCATATGGGATATTGTCAAGTACGGACTTGATTTGTTGCGATTGACTTAGTAATGTGCCTCATACAGAAACTGTACAGCGATATCTTGTGGCTTAAAAACAAAACTAAAGTATTTCTCTCTCTCTCTCTCCTTCTCTCTCTCTCTCTCCCTCTCTCCCCCCCTCTTCTCTCTCTCTCTCTCTCTCTCTCTCTCTCTCTTTCTCTTTCTGCCCCTCTCTCTCTCTTCCTTTCTATCTCTGTGTCTCTCTCTGTCTCTCTCTCTCTCTCTCTCTCTCTCTCTCTCTCTCTCTCTC